TTTACATCACTGCATGCATATATATAAACGCTTATTAAATTATTATATATAGTTATACCTAAGCAATTTTTAAAAATTGAATGTTAAAGTAATTAACCACCATCATTAACTTCCTATATCCTAGGGTTTATATTAATTAATTAAGGAACCATTATTTATTGATGACATCATTGTACACGCCAGCTCTCTAATTTTTAACAAGTTAATCCAGAATGGAAGACAATGACTTTAGATCTAATAATAATGTCTTTTTTTTTTAATTAGAAAATTCGTCATCACGTACTATTTAGGGTGTGTGTTGTCGGGATAAACTTTATTTTTTGTGTAATAATGCTAATTGTTGGAGCCCTTAGGCCAGCTCCCAAGGCCTCTCGAAGCGAACGTGGATTAGTCGGGTGAACCTGGATCGTTAAACGGACAGAGAAAGACCTGTACCATCTCATGATTTACACACAAAAAAATGCTAATTGTTGGAGCAAATTATTCTTTCACCAACATGACTTTCAATCGATTGTAGGATTCCGGCCACTACTCAATCGCTATATCATGGACTAAAATTTATCTCGCATGATGAATTTGTAAACATGTTTATTTTTAGTATACTACAGATTAAAATAAACTATAGTATATTAAAAATAAATTTGTATCAAAATATAATAAGCTCATTAAAAATGAACCTGTAATATACTAAAAATGAATTTATAATATATCTAAAGTCAACATATATTAAGGTTGATATTATAAGACTCTTCCCAAAAGGTTGAATTCTCAACCCTAAGAGTCTCCACACCCCTCAATAACCAGAGAGATTAGACATTTGCTTACTGTGTGCACAAGGAGTTCCTCACTTTAAGAGATTGCTCTCACACTGTCGCTGGTAATACTTGATCCCTGGTTATTCTTCCCAAATTTCATCTTTATGATCAATTAAACTGCCCATGCGGGCTGGATTAATATTATAAGATGAATCATGGAATGCATGATATAATTTGCCAACTAGTACTCGACTAGTTAACCTTCTAAGTGGGGCACCAATTAAGTAATTAATTACGGAGTAATTAAATAAGCAAATTATTATGTACACTAGAGTATATAAACTTCACCCTTTTTTCTTTTTTTTTTTTGAAAATATAAACTTTACCTTTTTAATTGGATAAAAACTTATTATAGTTCTAACATGCTAGACCTGGACATGCCTAGGGAATATGGAATATGCATGGAATATGGACTTTGGAATTTGGAATTTAGGGCTATAGCATATTTGGTTTCATTCTTCGCAAAAAGATTGAATCCCCAATTTAAAAAGTCCCCACATAGTGTGTATCTGAGCAAATTTTGTGTGATTTAAGGGTATGTGCTAAATAAATTTCATTAGGAAGATTTTGTGTGATAAATTTGATCAAGAAAGTATTAACAAAAATTGAACTTGTGAGTTACATTATTTATATATACAAAAAATCATAATCCACACACTCAGCCACCCATTTTAGAGTCTCTCGCCTCTGTGTCTCTTTTCATTTGATAAACCCGTATCCAATATTTGAGAGTGTGTACAGGGTAAACCCCACCTTATAACTCTAGTAGAGAAAAGATTACAATGAGGTAACGCAACCTAAGTTGTCCATAGTTCGAATCAATAAGCTACACCCTCTATGATCAGAGTTGAACTTGTAATCTTGTAGTTATTCAGTTAATAGTCTGATCAACTTGGTTGGGATTATCTTTTCTTTTATCTTAGTTTTTGTATGTTTGATTCTTTGTTTGAGTCGTTTAATTTAATTTTTAAAAATATTACTATATTAGTTAATACTCCGTAGAAAAATAAGTAATGGTGCCTTATCTTTAATTAAGGCGATTAGCCACGTTTACGTCTATTTTCAGCCCGCCGACCCATTTTTTTGCCCCTGTAAAACCCGTTTCAGCCCATTAAAAACCCACGACTTGATATGGGCGGGCCATTTCGAAATGGGCTGAAATTGCCAACAATATTAACTTTTTTTTTTTTTTTTTTTTTTTTTTTTCATAATATGGTTTATTTATTTAGGACCATAATAGCAACCGCAAATTATTTTGTGGACTCGAGTCCAAATGTTCATAATTTACATACTAAATATTCACAATTTATCTTTTAAAAATTCATAATTTATATACTACGAACATACAATGTTAATATATATGTAATTGATTACCTTATTTTGTATTCACAAGTTCCTTTCAAATACTGCATTCATACAATATTAATATATTAGGATTTAGTGACCCTGTATTTTATTTACAAATCTACAAATTTTCTTATACAGCTGTTATGTAAAGAATTTATATTCTAGAAGTTTACAATTCTAATACTAAAAATACACAATTTTATATGTCATTTAGGACCAAGGTCCAACTTGCAAGATGGACCCTGGTCCATGGTATAACAATTCTAATAGCAACATGAACAATAATAATAAGATTAATTCTAATTTTATCCCTCAACAATTACGAGTTTTATATTTAGTTATCAACTTTAAAATCAATAACATCCGATACTTAACGTTTAAAATCTTGTCGCTTTCATTAGTCATAATAAGTTGGGCGGCCGACCGCCTTGCTGCGACAGCCCTCTTACATGAGCTTGGGGCGCGGGAGCTGCTGGATAAGCCTGGGGTTCTCGAAGACATTCTGTGGGAGGACAATGCTGGAGCTGGAGTGAGCGATAGTGCCCAGTGTAACTAGGCTTTTTGTTTTTCACCCACGGGTTTTACCCTCTTCTTTTTCCAAAAAATAAAAAATAAAAAAATCATCAACTATCAAATTTGGCAATTTATATCCTACACCACGGCGCGCGTTGCACTATGTGCCCAGATGCAAAACGACGTCGTTTTATTTTATTTATTTTTTTTTGAAATTTCCCGCCCCAGTGAATGGCAGTAGTTTTTTCTTTAAAAAAAACTCGCTGTTCAAGAATGTACATAATGTTATACTAGAATACACATAATTGTATACATGAATATACATAATTATATAACAAAATATACATACTCTTTTTAAAAGATAATACACATAATCTAACATAATACATAATAAACATAAACTTTTAACATAATACACACAAATTTTCTGATTCGGATGTACATAATTGCATAAAAAGAATGTACATAATTGTATAAAAAATGTACATAACTGTATGAACCAATACACATAACTGTATGAACAAATACACATAACTGTGTGAATAAATACACATAATCCCAGCAACTTCCTACCGCGACTCCCAAAACGACGTTGTTTTGGGAGGCGCGCGGCGGACAGTGCTATATGCGTCGTGGTGTAGGGTATAACGATTGATCAAATTTGGCACTAATTTTGATCATTGAAATAAAAGTAACAATTTTCAAAATCAAGTATTAAGTTTGGTCGATTTGCCAAAGGCCTTGTGCTGGAGCGGCATAGTTGTGACCCTTCAAATAAGAGGTCTCAAGTTCGAATCCTATGTATGAAAATATATACTACATTGTAATAGAGTCAATAATATTAAAAAAAAAAAAAAGCTTGGTTGATTTCAAAGTCAAGAATAAAAAATAGAAAACTCAAAATACTTGATGGACAAATAGTAATAAATAAATAAAAGGAGAGGGAATATAAAATATTGTGTCTCTAAGTTATATCTTGAATAGATGTTAAGCACCTTGTGTTCAGATGACATGTAATGACGTTGTTGACTTTGTGTTGTTAAGCACCTTGTGTTCAGATGACATGTAATGACGTTGTTGACTCTGTGTGCTTCATTAGGTTGACATGGACGTGTCAGGGTTATACTTGTAAGCCTTTATTTATACGTATTTATATAATTGTTACGATCGTATTATATACAATAATATCTCTAACTCTAATCTACCTAATTATATTTCTCTTTGTATGAATTAACCCTAGTTCTATCATGTTTGTTCACATCTCATATCGAATATTCTGTATGAGTTAACCCTAGTTCTATCATGTTTGTTCACATCTCATATCCTCCTCTCTCTCTGCGGCCATTTCCTTCCCCCCAATAAATAAAACCCTAATTTTCTCATTGTTCACAAGTCTCTTCTCATCCATCATTGACTCAAGAATTAGGGATGATCCTAGAATTAGGGTTCAAGGGTCATTTTAGGTGGTTGATTTTAAAATTCAAGTAAAATTTATGTCTAATCAAATATTTCAGAGCATATATACAAATAGTTCAAGCATATACAGGACCTAAACCCAGCCCAACACTTGCGGACAAACAAAAAGAACTACATGGGCTTCCCACGTACTAAACGAAAGAAGCTTAGAATTTTAAATCTGGACTTGGTAAGGTGCGCCAGGCCAAGGCAATAGTGCAACGCCAAGGCGACGCTTGAAGGCTTAGACAGCAAGCTGCCTTAATGGGCCTTCCCCTTAAAAAAAGTGAGTTAATATCATGTGGGCTAATAGCCCACGTATCAGATATTAAACTGATAAGAACAGATACTACACTTGATCTTAGCCAAAAGGCCGAGAAAGGTATGAGTTCTTAAGCCCACCTCCCCCTTATTTTATAACCCCCAACACCCATCAACTCCCTCTCCCCATCCGATGTGGGACAAAAAATTGCTACCAAATAGCTTCACGCCTTCACTGCTTCTTCAATTCTTCATTTTCTATATTCTTTAAGTACATACCAATATTAAACTTGAAAATTTAGAGGGAATAAAGAAGTGAACAACAGGAAAATAATAACCACATTATCCTATAGACTGGATAAACTCAATCAAGAAACAGAGATATAAAAAAGGATGTTGCAGAAACAAAATGGAGTTCATAAGTCTGGATTTCAAATTTACAATGAGGTACAACAGCATTCATCCAAATTTCTACCAAGACAACATGAAACAGTAGGATGATGATAAATACGCGCGAATGACTTAATTTGAATTACTTTTTGGGTTTTTCTGTTTTTTCCCTCCCAACATAAAATTAAGAATTTGAGTGCAAAAGATTTCCACCTTACATTGTTTCTCCCCTCACATGTGCTCGGAAACTGTCTTGTGAAGCTTAACGTACATTTCCACCTCTCACCCCTTTTATTTTGAACGTAACTATAAATTGATAGATATGGTTTACCTTCGTTTCAGTCTCTGCTGCAGGAAACATGGCGGCGATATGGTTTACAAAGGCCCTCTGAATAAAGGGCCCATCTGCAATTCTAAAATTTATGGCAACTGTATTATTGGCAACCAAAGCGAAGATGCGATCCTTACAATAATCGCAACTGTCATGGGATGACGGAGCCATCCAATAAAACCAGATTGTTTTGTACTAAATTTCCTACTCTAGCAAGCTAAGCTATGTTCTTCATGTTGGAATAATTCAGAAATGATAATAAAAACCTATTAATGTAATATTTGTATAATACTATATTTAGCTATACAATTATAATAAGAGCCAATAATCTATACATTTATACATCTATACAATACAATTATAATAAGAGCCAATAATGTTAGGCCCTTAACTGGAAAAAAAAAATCTCGGAAGTATTGTTTATTAAAATGCATGGTTCATATTATTTTGATTTTAGTATTTTTTTAATGATTTTCTTCATTTACCCTTTATTATATTATTTTCTTCCCTTAAATAACCTAAATTCCGTAAGTATAAACTTTAGTGACGGAATATTCGGTTAACTATTTATTATTTTTAACTTACTCATTAATTTTTATAAGAAAGGTCTTAAGGTCGAACTTCATCCCAATTATGATTGGCATAATTGTTAAACATATATTACGAATATGTTAAAATGCACACACACACACACACACACACACACACACACACATATATATATATATATATATATATATATATATATATATATATATATATATAAAATATAAAATTTAACATAAACTTTGGTCAAATAATTAGTCTGACTAATAAATAAATAATATTCAAAGTTAAGCATCAAAGAGAATAAATCAATAACTTTAAAAATCATCAGGGACCTGGGATGTTGAAGTTCTTCGTGACATATTTAATGCGGCAGATGTACAACGGATTCTTGCAACGCCAGTTAGCTCCCATTACAAGGATTCCTGGAGGTGGATTGGGGATCTCCGTGGCCAGTACTCAACAAAACATGGCTACCGTCTACTCATGCATGATAACAGGCAGCTCGAGGAATCTGGGAATTTCCAGGCCTGGAAGGGGGTGTGGTCGCTTCCGATACCGCCGAAGGTCAAGAACCTGCTATGGAGATGTGCGAGAGGAGTGCTGCCAGTTCGTGAAAACCTTCGTCTGAAAAGGGTGTGCATCGGCGGCGGTTGCCCTTTATGTGGCTTCACGATAGAGACGACCGAACATCTATTCGGCGATTGCATTTTTGCCAGGACTGTTTGGGGGATGACGATGTTATGTTGGGAAGGGATCTTCTCAGCTTCATGGACTCTGTTATAGGCCAACAATCTTCCCAACAACCCTCCTCTGCGGCAGTGAAACTTGCGGCAGTGTTCTGGAATCTCTGGCTTGCCCGGAACGATGTGGTATGGCACGACAAGATTCCGTTGGTGGAGGAGATCTGCGCGCAAGTAAGGCGCTCCATTAGCAACTGGGAGATTGCTTATTCAAAGCCTGTTCATGCGGCTGGCGTCTCTGACCGGGCAGATGTTTGGAAACCACCACCCCGAGGCATAATCAAGTGCAACATCGACGCGGCTGTGTTCGCAAATGGCGCTGGTTTTGGGGCGGTCTTGCGGGATCATGACGGCTTGTTTGTAGCAGCTAGAAGCGGGTGGCTTGAAGGTGTGACCGATCCGTATTTGGCAGAGGTCATTGCAGCTAAAGAAGCCTTGTCTTGGTTGCAGGCACAAGAACATAGAGTTTATTTCTTTGAATCTGATTGTTTAAATTTCTGTAATGCTTTTAATTCACGTAGTATTGATTTTTCGTACGTAGGAGCTTTTGTGATGCAATGTTTATCGATTGCTAGCGACATAGGGACCGTAACTGTGGTCCATGTCAGGAGAACAGCGAACCGTGTGGCTCATGAGCTTGCTCGGGCAACCGTTTCTGAATCTGTCTCGGGGGTGTGGGTGACTAACCCAATCTTGTATTGTCGGTTTTTTGATTCCTTAATGAAGTTTGTTGTTTTGTTTCAAAAAAAACTTTAAAAATCATTTAATTTTTATGCATTAAAAAAAAAAACAAATTTAGATTAAGTTTTTTTTTCTTCGTTTAATTAAGCTTCTTTTGATTATTTAGATCATAACAAAACTTAATATTTCAATTATATTTTTGCATTATTGGTATGATTTAGGTCGTTGTGGTATTAATATTTTTTGTATGTATTTTTATAATGGTACAATTGTATATTACTTTACAAATATTATACTATTATTTTTTTTATCGAACAAAATTGTTCTTACATCATCGTCAGACCTGCGCGACCTAACTACAAAGTTGTTGATCATAAATACAATTACACCTGGACTCTAAAATGGTAGGACCATTTTCCAAAGAATTTGACAATGTTCACATCCCACTGGATCCAATTGAACAAGTTTGCACATCATAATTTTATCAATGCATGAAAACTTCTAAAGAAATTTGTAATTTAATTTTTACTAGATCATTATAACAATATATATTGTAACTATGTATTTTGATTTATTTATTATCTTCCTCTATTGACAAAAATTGTAACAATTGTCATTGACAAACTCTCAAAACAATTTGTCTCAACAACGAATGTAAATTAAAAAAAAAAATCAATGATTTCATTATTGTTGATAAAAAGTATGCACACTACTTTATTACTCTTATTAAATTATAAATTAAATAAATTAGTAGCTACAATAAAAAATAATACATATGCATTTAATTAATTTAGAATTAGATGTGTATAATGCCTTTATTTAAAAAAATTATTCATTATAAAAATTAAAACAGATATAATTTCATTAGTTATATTATCTTTATTTTCTACAATTCAAATATTCATTACCTTCAAATTTATTAATTTATTATATTCACTACATTGTCCATTGTATTTTTCTTTTTTACATTATTTTGTAATTAAATATCTAAGTTATAATACAAAATATGTTATATATATATATATATATATATATATATATATTATTTATTTATTTATCAAGTATTTTATACAAATATAATAAATATTAATATTTTGTACAATACTTTCACATGATAACCTACGACACACATCTCACAAACGCATGAAACATGTAGGGGACAACTACCACTACCAAATATCAATAGGTGATTATAAGATAAAGATTTAATACTACAACTAAGATCCCATCATATACACAACAAGACAAATCTAAAGCTTCCTACACCATAATCTCATTGCACGATGAATCCATCTATGCTACCACCAGTAACCCAATTGCACATGACACAGTACTAGTAATAAAAAAAGACATGTACTGAAGATGAAGACAATGACAATGCTACCCAAAAGAGAATTAAGAAGAATTAAAGAAATTTAAACCAAAAGTAGTATTTATTTAGACAATTGTTTTTAGACTAGCGTTATTACAAAGTTGCAAATATTTATTTTAGTGACAATATAATCGATCTCGCATATATTATCTTGCATTTATAGACTTTTAATTACCGATTTAAATTACAAAAATTCAATATTTATTTACCTATGCATGAACATCTCCGATATAATATTGTATTGATATACTTTGAAATACTTATTTAAAAATACTCATTGGGCATTATTTCATTCGTGCAAAGCGCGTTAAAGAACTAGTTATACTAATAAGAGCCCAAGAGAGTAGTTAGGCCTATAATGGGTAGAAAAAATGGCGGTCAAATTTTTTAATCAAATCAATGGCTCAGATTGATCAGATTTTATTTTTTCCTTAAGATTTCTTAATTTATCCTTAATGAATATGATTATCCTTTAACTTTTCCGTTAAATATTATATTTTCCGTTAATTTCTGTTAGTTCACCGTTAACTTACTCATTGATTTCAATAAGAAAGATCTTAGGTTCGAACTCCAACCCAATCAAAGTTGGCATAAATAGTACTCTATTTTACTCTTATTAAATTATATTAATAATAATAATTTAGTAGCTACAACAAAAAATAATACATATGCATTTCTTTAATTTAGAATTATGTGTCTACAATGTCTTTATTCAAAAAAAATATATTCATTATCAATAAATTAAATAAGAGAAATAATTTCATTAGTTATATTGTATTTATTTTTCTCCAATATAATATTCTTTACATTCAAATTCATCAATTGATTATATCGCTACATTGTCCCTACAATGTCTTTATTAAAAAAAATTTATTCATTATCGATAAATTAATTAAGATAAATAATTTTATTAGTTATATTGTCTTTATATTTCTCCAATGTAAAAATTCTTTACATTCAAATTCATCAATTGATTATATTAACTATATTGTCTATTATCTTTTTTTGTGCACTATTTTTTAATTAAATATCAAAGTTATAATACAAAATAATGCTATATATTTAGTTACCAAGGATTTTATTAATACCATAAAAAATTAAAAAATATATAATTAATAAAGTCAATCATATTAACTACTTGAGGGATTTGTTGAAAAGAGAGTATTCAAATCACACAACAAATTGAAGTGAGAACTATCTCGCAATGTCTTTGTTTGACAACCAACAGTAAGCAGTTAGCATTAACAGATTATATTAGCGAATTATATCAACGGTTGGTAAAAAGATATTTGAAAAAATTAGTTGTTTAGATTAACATGTAAAATGACCTAAGGGTATAATAATAATAATAATAATAATAATAATAATAATAATAATAATAATAATAAAAATAAAAATAATAATAATAATAATAATTATAATAATTATAATAATTATTATAATAATAATTATTATAATTATAATAATTATAATAATAATTATAATAACAATAATAACAACAACAACAACAACAACAACAACAACAACAATAATAATAATAATAATAATAATAATAATAATAATAATAATAATAATAATAATAATAATAATAATAATAATAATAATACAATCATATTAACTACTTGGGGATTTATTGACAAAAAGAGTATTCAAATCACACAACAAATTGAAGTGGGAAATTATCTCGCAATTTCCTTGTTTGGCAATCAACAGTTAGCTATTCAATATTAGTATATATTTAATATTTTATGCCCTAATTTTTATTTGCTCTCCCTTATGTCCCGTATTTGGTTTCAACCATACCTATGTTAGTATAGTTGTTATTTTCCACATTATTATTTGTATAATATATGATTGTATTTATGTGGTGTTAGAATAGTCTACAGTAGTTATAGTGTGATGCTATTAGTCAGGTGTAGGTTAGAGTTTGATATCTGATATAACTCTGTAATTCCTATTATTCAGTTAATGATCGAATCGACGTCTCTAATCTGGTATCAGACGGGTTTCGATTCTCTCTCTACCTCCACTGCACAATCCTTCCCCCTCTCACCATCCACTCTCCGGCCTCGTCGATGAACTCATCGGAGCACACCGTGTCTGCCGCCGGGTCTCCCTCGTCGGAGCACACCACTACGTGTCAATGAAGCTTACGTCTAGAAATTTCCTCTACTGGCGTACGCAATTGATACCCTTCCTCCGAGGTCTGGACTTCCGTCACAAAGGCGCTCGGCCAAGGGAACTCCACCACCGCTGATTACCTAGGGCAGGCGGGGGTTCTCGTCGAATCATTGGTTCAAGCCGGACGTCCACTCTCGCTCATGGAGCAGAATCTCTACGTGTTTCGTAGACTCCGGCCGGAACTCAAGACGCTTGCGGCTTCTCTCACCGCCTCGGGGAATCCGGTCACTCTCTCTCACCTGTCGGATTTTTTGCAGGCTCATGAGTTTATCCTCGTTGACGATTATCCGACGGAACGGCGTCGCACATGGCTTTATACACCAGTCCTGGTCGTGGCCATAATCATGGTGGCGAACGACATGGGCCGTCGACTCCAGACCGCGGCGGTCAGTAGGGCCGTGGCGGTCAGAACAGAGGTGGTCGTGGCGTACGAGGAGCGCCGCGGTGTCAGATATGCCGGTCTCACGGCCACACCGCAATTTACTGCTACAAGAGATACACTACGCAACCACCGACGCAAGCTAATGTGGTGTTATCTGGCGAACCTCCGGCGACGACAGCGACACCTCCGACCGACGGGTGGTATCCGGATACTGGAGCTACAGCGCATGCTACCCCGGATGCAGGAATGATGGCGCAGTCTGATGAGTACGGTGGACCCGATGTCCTTCGGGTCGGTAATGGCGCATGTTTGGCAATCTTGCGAGTCGGTCATGCATCAGTCCCATCTGTGTCCAAACCTTTAAAATTAACCAATATTTTACATGTCCCGAATTTATCTATTCCCCTTTTGTCAATACTTAAATTTACTACTGATAATGATGTTTTTTTTTTTAATTTCACAATTCTTGTTTTATTGTGAAGGATTCCACAACCAAAGCGGTTCTGCTTAGAGGTCCCACTACAGGTGGTCTGTACAAGCTCCCGCTGTCTCCATCAAATTTTGCGTTTTTAAGTTCCCATGCCAATCCCACGGTTTGGCACCGCAGGCCCGGTCATCCACACAAACATGTCCTCAATAAAGTTCTTAAAAGTTGCCTGGTCACCTCCAATAAAACTGAGCTCGTTGAGTCGTGCACCTCGTGTCATCTTGGCAAATCATCACGCTTTAAATTAGACAATGTTTCCCATTGTAGTTAAAATGTATTAGATTTGATATACACGGACATTTGGGGTCCGTCTCCTGTATTATCAACTAGTGGTTTTCGCTACTTTTTACTTTTTGTAGATGATTATTCCAGATTCTGCTGGTTTTATCCGTTAAGGGTAAAATCAGACATACATAAAGCTTTTGATTCGTTTCGTATGTTGGTAGAGCGCCAATTTGTGCGGTCTATCAAGTCTATTCAATCTGATTTAGGGGGTGAGTATCGAAACTTACACACAATATTTCATAAATTGGGCATAAACCATTGCCAATCGTGTGCCTATACACATGAGCAAAACGGGAGGGTAGAGCGTCGGAATAGACACATCGTTGAAACCGACCTCACTCTCCTCGCTCAAGGCAAAGTACCCCATCAATACTAGGACTATGAGTTTGAAACCACAACCTGTCTAATCAAATTCTTACCGTCATCAGCCATACATTTTGAAAGTCCTTATACTCGTCTCTTCAAAGTGTCCCCCCCCCCCCTATGCTTTCCTATGTGTCTTCTGGTGCCGGTGTTACCCGTATCTTCGTCCGTATAATCGGCATAAGATAGAGTATCGCTCCGCCCCGTGTGTGTTCTTAGGTTACCCTCTCTCCTTTATGGGATACAGATGCCTTGATTTGACAAGTGGGAAAACCTACATCTGTCGCCATGTCCGGTTTAACCAATATGTGTTTCCTTTTTCCACAGATCCCGTACACAAGGGCCCAACACCACCACCGCTGCCATGGGCTGTTGCACCTGTCATGGCGCATGTTCCACTAGTCGGGCCAACACCGAGCCCAGCACCGAGTTGTGATGAACCCGTGCCATTGGCTCGCGATCCACCGCAACTAGCGATAACTAATACTGCCCCAGCTAAATCACGCAGGCCTTGAGCAACCGCAAGCACGGGACCATAACATGCGTCTTTGTCACATGACTCGGGATACAGATGAGCCTTTTCAGGCGCTAAGTGTTACCACAGACCCCACTTGCTACTCTCAAGCCGTGGGGCACCCGCACTGGCGTGAGGCAATGGACCAGGAGTTTAATGCTCTACTCCACAATAACACTTGGCGACTTGTACCACCGGAACCCAACATGAATATAATCGGCTGCAAATGGATGTTCCGCACCAAACGCACCGCTGATGGCTCTACAGAACTGCACAAGGCACGACTTGTTGCCAAAGGGTTCAATCAAGTCGTAGGAGAAGACTTTTTTGAAACCTTCAGTCCCGTGGTTAAACCAACCACGGTCCGTATGCTGCTCTCTCTAGCTGTGTCAAACAGTTGGACTCTCCGCCAGTTAGACGTTCATAATGCCTTTTTGAACGGTCATCTGGCAGAAACCGTGTACATGAAACAATCACCAGGTTACGAAGATCCGACAAACCCGGGTCATGTCTGTCATCTCCAAAGGTCACTCTATGGTCTGAAACAGGCCCTCCGTGCTTGGTTCAAACGACTTCATGATTTCTTATTGTCTGCAGGGTTCAATTCATCCAAAACGGATGTCTCTCTTTTTTATTATACTATAGGGACATCCCGTGTGTTCTTATTAGTCTATGTTGACGACATCATAATGATGGGCAACGACGCGCAACTAGTGGCTACTCTTTTGCACCGTCTATCCTCTACCTTCAAGATTCGTGATCTTGGCTCACCAAGCTTCTTTTTGGGTATTGAAACAGTCACTGCAGGCACAGGTCTAATTCTCTCACAGCGCCGTTATATGACAGAACTCTTAGGGCGCTCTGGTATGCTAGACAACAAGCCTCTCGCCACACCGGCCGCGGTTACCAAGGCGGTGACACCCTCGGAACAGTTGTTTGATAATCCGACGCAATATCTGTGGGAGCTTTGCAGTACTCGACTATCACCAGGCCTGATCTTTCCTATGCTGTCAATCGCCTATGTCAGTTCATGCACTCACCATCTGTTGATCACTAGGCTCTTATGAAATGCGTCCTACGCTACATCAAGGGGACACTTGACTATGGGCTACGTCTCACACTGTCTTCGTCAACTAGCATCCATGCCTTCTTCGACTCTAACTGGGCTGGGTGTCCGCTGGACAGGAAGAGTACGAGCGGATTTGCGGTTTACTTGGGTTCAAATCTAATATCGTGGCTGTCCAAGAAGCAACGCACTGTAGCACGTTCATCCACGGAGGCAGATTACAAAGCTCTTGTCGATGTATTCGCCGAGGTTACCTGGATCGACTCTTTGTTACGGGAACTAGGGCTACATTCAGGACAACCCGCGACATTGTGGTGTGACAATCTAGGGGCAACATATCTTTGTGCCAATCCAGTTTTTCATGCCAGGACGAAGCACGTCGAGATTGACTATCACTTCGTCCGTGACAAAGTGGCTTCAGGGGACTTCGTCGTCAACTATGTCTCTACTACGGACCAGCTAGCCGACATCTTCACAAACCGTTGCCAGGTCCGCAGTTCTCTGCTCTACGGGACAAGCTCAATGTGGAGGCTCTCCAACCTTGCGCTTGAGGGGGTGTGTTAATATAGTTGTTATTTTCCACATTATTATTTGTATAATATTTGATTGTATTTATGTGGTGTTAGAATAGTCTACAGTAGTTATAGTTAGGGGTGTCAATACGGGCCGACCCGCCTCATTAGTCCCGCCCCACCGCGGGCTTTTTATTTGGCGGGCTTTGGCGGGCCGCCCCGCGAAGCCCGCGGGCTTGGAACTATACAACCCAAGCCCGCCCCATGCGGGCTTGCGGGTCTCGCGGGCTGGCCCGCGGGCCATAACTTAAATTAAAAAAAAAACATTAAATAGTATATAAACATATTAAAACCGCTTGAAATATGGCACCGAAAACTTCCATAAAATCCATAAACCTCGCCCATATCTCCCGGATCGATACTGCGCGTTCATCAGAACTGTAGAAGGGTAATCAAAGCTAGGGTTCAACAGCACACCCGATTTCTCTCTCGGCTTCAGATTTTCCCTCTACAATTCCCTTCTGTGTATAATACATATATAAATATGTATGTTTGCTTGACTTGGAAACGATTTAGTAATTCATAAATATGTATGAATTGATGATTTAGTTTTAGTAATTATTTGATAGAGTTGGAGGCGGATGGAGACGGGAGAACCAAAGAACTACGTACTCTAGGAATTATTGAATTAAGAATTGGCGAAGGATTATTGAATTATTGGATTTCTCCCTTTTTGCGTACTCTTAGATAGTTAGATCTACACATTGCCTAAGAATTAAGATATTATATATATGATTTTTTTTTTTAAAAAAAAGATATTATATATATAATTTATTTATTTATTTTTTAAATATGGCCTGGCCCGCGGGCCGGCCCGCAACCTGCGCGGGCTTTGGCCCTCCGCGGACCATGCCCGTTCGGCCCGCATTTTCGCGAGGCTAATTTCTTGCGGCCCTAACCCGCCCCATTGCGGGGCAGGTGCGGGCTAACCCGCGGGCTTCGACCCACTTTGACACCCCTATTTATAGTGTGATGCTATTAGTCACGTGTAAGTTAGAGTTTGATATTTGATATAACTCTGTAATTCCTATTATTCAGTTAATGATCGAATCGACTTCTCTAATCACCTATACAATTATTTTATTGACAATTATAATCAATTTTGACTATATTATCTTGCATTTGTAAACTTAGAATTGCCTATTTAAATACGCAAATTTAACATTCAATTATATATGCATGAACAATTCCAATATAATCTTGCCTTGATATACTTTAAAGTACTTATTTAAAAAAAAAAAACATTGGGCATTATCCCAATCGCACAAAGCGTGTAAAAAACTAGTCAGTACTTAGTATATATATGGCAAATTATATTATGCACCGCGGTGCATAACCGATTATGCACCGCGCGTCTTTTTTTTTTTAAATGAAAATTAACAGTATTTATTTTCGCCGTTTCGCATCCTTTTGCAAAAAGTAACTCTGTTATTCAGTGTCATTTTGTATACACTGCAGTTTCAGTTGAACATAACTACAGTTTCATTTCGATATAACTATAGTTTCATTCGATATTTATAGACTCAAATATGTGAAAATGTTATTTAATTTTATTTTATATACACTATAGTTTTATTAAAACATAACTACATGATCATTTTGATATAATTACAGCTTCATTGTACAATATACACTCAAATATGTGAAATATTATTCAATTTCAGTTTATATACACTGCAGTTTCATTTCATTATAACTACAGTATCATTTTGATATAACTGCAGTGTCGGTTTGGATATTCTGTAGTGTCAGTTGGTGTTTAATACACCAAACAAACGGACTCCGTTAACTCTAACGGCGGGCCGTTTCTTTACTTAAAGAAATGGCGCCGTATATGGGCCGCGGTGCATAATCGATTATGCACCGCGGTCTATAATATAACAACTAGTATATATATTGGCATATTTTTGGACCATGGAAAAGTATGTGACTTTCGACTATTAAAAAGTGATTAAAAATCACGAGATTATATTGTGGATGTAATTCAGGTTTTCAATCACTTACAAAGTCTTAAAATATAATAGGAGTGTTTGGTAAATGATTGTTAGCTGATTGGGTTAGTGGGTTTGACTATAGTTGATAAGATTAGTTGATTGTAGAAAAGTATTTGATAAATTAGCTGTTAGTTGTTAGCTGATTACGTACCAAATGACTTTCTCAAAATGCGGATAAAAAAACTACTTTGGGCACCTTTTTGAATTTTAGCATTTTGAAGCAATAAATTGTTACAAAAAGTTAATTAATTAAACACTCATATTGGTTGTTTAATCAAGTCAAACAACTAATAGTTGTCAAATAAGCCAATATTCACTACTGGAAATTCTGAAATTTCCGACCACCTGAAAGTGATCATAAATCAAGTTGAAAGTCTTGTTCCGACCACTTTTTGGACTTTTTGGTATCAACTTAATTTAAGATCATTTTCAGGTGGTCAGAAATTTCAAAATTTCCAGTAGTGATTGAATGATATACTAATTATTTTATCAAACATCGCCAATATATAATAAAGTAATTTCTGATCTCTTCCTAAAAATAGTGTTAATGGAATAGGGGTAATAATGGAAGAACAATTAAATTCAACATTTGATACTATCATGGTGGAAAGCATAGGACGATGGGGAAGATAAAAGAGTATGACAAATTAAGCCAAGATAAATTATAAGATTGACTCAATTTACTCTATAATAGGTCCGGGTGAGTTCATGAGGTTTAGTCTATAATAGATGGTGGAGATAAATAAGCGCAGGAAATAAATTAACTAATTTTTAATATATATTTATTAAATTCAGAAGAAATATATTTTACAAATAAGGGCATAATAAATGTTAGATTTTCTTTTTAATAAGGTGTCATCCCCTCATTTACCGTTAGTGTAGCTAGTGTATAGCACTTATATACACCGGCAGTGCATAATTTTTTTTTTGTAAATTTAATTATAATTATAAGAATGCTTTAAAAGTAAAGTTTATTTCACCAATTAAAGTATTTTTCTTGTTGGTGTTAAAATAGTGAACAATCTCAAAATAAATGTCAAGTTTGATATTGCTAGTACTAAGCTATGGTTGAATGGAAAGATGAAGACAAAGGCTCTTGGTAGCTCGGCCCCCCAAGAGAGGAAAGCAAATATCATATTGAACAAAAGCAATAATTATTGTGTGGACCATGGTCTACACAAGTTGTGTGAATCATATTTTGTATACTGTGAAGTATAAAATAATGTATATTTAATACACAAATAATGTACTTTTAATATGTTAAAAATGTACTTTGTATTCAGGGAGAGTACATTATTTAAATACTAAAATTAAATTATTTTATATAATATATATTCAGTACATAAATAATGTACTTTTAGTATATTAAAAATTTACTTTCTTTTATGGTCCATAGTTCCATACAACACTATGTGGACCATGGCCCACACAATAATTTACCGAATAAAAGTTTGTATTTTTTTT